GTGCCCATGTCGGCACACCCCTCACATAGTTCGTGGCCCCATAGGGAGCTCCGGTTCCAGTGGGAGGGTTCGCATGGCACCACCGCACCCAATTCGGCACGCCCCTCACACGGTTCGTGGCCTTATAAGGAGCTCCACCGAAAGCGGTACCAAAAATGCGGTACTCGCAGCTGCATATGGTTGGGTCTTTCGTCAGGCTAATTTCGAGGGGTACGTGTCAGCGATCGAGCTGGAACGTATCAGCTGTCGCTTGATATTCCGAAGAGTTTGGTTTACATTTGCCGAGCTGAACGTATTTGAGTGAGCACCAGCATTCAAGGCTGCCCGCGCGACTCCTGCTGCAATGTGTCGAATGTGTCGTTACGGTCTTGTCGAGATTGTCGTCTGCTGACTGCCCGGGATGAGTCAGAACACCTTACCTACTTCTGTGAGCTTCAGGCTTGTTGGCCCAGGTGCAATGAGCACGACTGTTCGTTTCTGAGGCTTCGTGATGCTGCTCGAGGCGCCAGAGCAGCAAAAGGGCTGGGAGCGTATGACTTGTTTTTTTGGGCATCTGGAGGTCTGCGCTCTCTTCCGCTGGCACCCCAGGTAGAGCCATCTAGAAAACATGTTGGGGCAACCTTCGGGCTTTCTTGGGGCTTTGTTGGATAAGCCATGAGCCTCCTGGGAGCATCTTGGGACCACCGGGTGCCACCCAGAGGCCGTCTCGGGGACTCCTGGGGACATCCAGGGGTCATCTGGTGTGACGCTGGTGGCGTCGGGCAGGGGCCTTTCCCCGCCTCCTCGTGGCCATCTTGGGCGATCTTGGAGCCATCTTGGAGCCCCCAGGCGGCCTCGCGGGGCGACCTGAAAGCCATCATGGGACCTGTTGGGAAGAACGTGTGCAGTTCAGGAAGCATAGAAGTGTCTCAGGTTTTTTTCCACGATCTCTTATGTTCCCCGACTGTCTTGGGCCTCTCCTGACAGGCTTTTTGGACCCGGTTGAAACATCTAAGGGCCGCCTTGAGGCCATCTTGGATAGTCTTGGGCTCTTTGGGCTCTCATTGGGTCCTCTTGGGGAGCTCCCGAAGGCATCTTGGGCCCTCTTTTCCGTCTGGTTGCGATCTTGGAGCTATCTTGGAGCCCCCTGGTGGCCTCGCAGGGCGACCTTAAAGCCATCATGGGACCTGTTGCGAAGAAAGCGTTATTCTTATGTCGGGCGTGTCCCCCTACAGGGGGATTTTCGACGAAGAATAAAAAAATACCCAAAAAGTACCCCGAAACGTCAAAACATATTCCAAAAATAGTCCCCAGACTATTTTTGGATTATGTTTTGACTACTTGTTGGGGTATTTTCAATTTTTCATCGAAAATCCCCCTGTAGGGGGACAGGCCCGACTTAACGTTATTCCCCAAACAGTGCTTGCATTAGGGGTTCTCACTTCTGCTCTAAGGAACTGGGCCTGTCTGCTGCTTCTGGCGGCCATGTTGTCGCCGTCGGCGCACCGTCGCCGCCTCGTCGCCACCCGTCGTCTGGGCCTGTCTGCAGCTCTTGCGGCTATGTTGTCGCCGTCGCCGCCCCGTCGCCGCCTCGTCGCCGCCCATCGTCTGAGCCTGTCTGCCGCTCTGGCGACTATGTTGTCGCCGTCGCCGCCCCGTCGCCGCCTCGTCGCCGCCCATCGTCTGGGCCTGTCTGCCGCTCTGGCGACTATGTTGTCGCCGTCGTACCTAGAAGTTGGAGCCCCTAGGAAAGCAGCATTAGTTGCTATGCTATGCTATGCTATGCTATGCCATGCCATGCTATGCTGCGCTATGCTATGCTATGCTATGCTATGCTGCGCTATGCTATGATATGCTATGCTATGCTATGATATGCTATGCCAAGCTATGCTATGTCATGCTGCGCTGTGCTATACTAAACTATGCTATGCTATGCTATGCTATGTTAAGCTGCGCTATGCAATGCTATGCTATGCTATGCTCTGCTATGCTATGCTATGCTATGCTGCGCTGTGTTATGCTGTGCTGTGCTGTGCTGCGCTATGCTATGCTATGCTCTGCTACGCTGCGCTATGCTATGCTATGCTGGGCTATGCTATGATATGCTGTGCTGCGCTATGCTATGCTACGCTATGCTATGCAATGCTGTGCGTCTGCTATGCTAAAGCTCAGCGACGCTAAGATGAAGGTAAGCTAAGCTAAGACAAACCTGAGCTACGATGAAATAAGCTAAGCTAAATTGAAATAAGCTAAGATAAGATGATATACGCGACGCTAAGGTAAGGGGGCGTAACTGGGGGAACCGCGGGGCGGATGCCGGGGGAACCGCCCGGGGCGAGCCCCACTGCCCGGCCCTTTAAGCACATAGAGTAAGAACCCTGCTATGCAGAGCCTAGGTTCCTCAAAATGCTCTGCGCGCGCATTCGTTTATTACAATCGGCAGTTTTCAATAACCCCTTGCAACAACGAGGGACGAAGTGCACACGCTCGCGCTGTCGCGCGCGCATGCCGAAATCCTTTTAAAAGTTTTCGATTTCGGAAAAGGCTTCAACATCGAGTGCCAAATACACATATAACAACACGAGGTTCCGCAACACTGGTTTTCAAAAAAACTTGCGCGCGCGCTCTTGTGAATGCTTATCTTAAGAAGACCATCTGATTTTCATGATTTACAGAACATGCTACTAAACGGGCTTCGGGCGCGCATGTCGAAGTCGTTCTAACGCTCTTGCGCCCGTGCAGCCGCACGAATCCCCTGCAAACGACTGGGCGAAGTGCGCGCGCGCGCGTCGTCGCGTGCGCATGCGGGCATCTTTCAAAAACAGTCGGCTTTGTAGGGGTTTCAAAGTCGAGTGTTCCGAAACTATATAATTAACAACACATGGTTTTGCAACCCGATTTTTCGAACATATTTGCGGTCGCGCTCCTGCGAATTCTAAATGAACCTGTCTCTTTGGTTGGAAAACAGTTTCACTAGATTCAGCCAAACGGGCCTCTCGCGCCGCATGTTGAAATTGTTCGCGCTCCCAAGCCCGCGTGCTGGGGGGCACGATCCGTGTCAAATAGTATCTTGCGGGCCACGCTCGCGCGTCGGCCACGCACGCATGTCGAAGCCAACGCGAAGACGCCGTCATCGTCGTCGGCGTGATCAGCATCGGCGCTGTCATAGGCCTTGCCGTCGTCGTTGTCATCATCGTCACCAGCGTCGCTACTACCATCATCGTATCAGCTGGTGCCGACGTTGCCATGATACCGCGCCCGCCCAAGTCGCCAACTCGCACTGAAGTGTCCGCTGGGCTGTGTCCAGCGGTCAGCGCCACCGCGGCCGCGTCGGTCGCGCCAAACTAGCTGACCGCTTCGCGCGCGCATGCGCGGGCTAGCGCGGCCGCAGAGATACAGTAGCCAACGCCAAGCACTCATCGCAATCGTCGCCGCATGGGGTTTGCAAACCAAGATGCGGGTGGGTGGGTGGGATGGTTGCGCGAGCAGTGGAGTTGACAATTTGGAGTTCGGCGGGGTGAATTGCTCCACCTAGGTAGTGCCCCCGAGATTTCTCCATTCTAAAAAGAGAATACCCCTCCCTCCTGGGATTGTCAATCCCTTCTTCGTATTATAATTTGCGTATGATTCTGCCCCATCGTCCATCCTAGATTTGAATCTAAACCATCCCAGGGAGGCCGGTATCGGCCCTGCTGTAATTTGCCAGAATTCTTGGTATCTATTTGTCCAGCCGAGCGTCGAGATCACGGAGGCCATGTGTTACGAATCCAATTCAAGTACGTTCGAACCAGCTTGCGCGACATGTCTTGTACTGCAGCGTTTCGTTTTCGTCCTGGTGGGATCGTTGTATCCTGGCTGTCCGTGAGGACTCATTTCGCCTCACCCATTTCAGTCGAGTCAGGGCTCGCATGCCCAGATGCAATGGGAACCAACGCTGGTGTCTAAGGCTTCGTGAAGATTTGCGTTTGTTTTTGTTTCCAGGGTGTAGTTTTTTTTGTTGTTTCAGGGAACGTATCAGCAGTCGCTTGCGATTCTGGAGACTTTTGTTACATTTGCCGAGGTGAACGCGTTTTCATGAGCGCTGGCATTCAAGGCGGCCTGTGCGGCTCCTGCTGCAATGTGTCGTCACGGTAATGTCGACATTCTTGTCTATTGAGTGCCCTTGATGATTCAGAACACCTTGCCTACTTTTGTGAGTTTCAGGGCTTGCGGGCCCAGGTGCAATGAGCACGGCTGTTGTTTCTGAGGCTTCGTGGTGTGTAAGGGCTGCTAGAGTTGTTTAGCGGACAATTTTGTACCGGATTTTCCCGGTTGAAATTTGCCAGAATTACTGGTATCTATTTGTCGAGCCGAGCGTCGAGATCACGGAGGCCATGTGTTACGAATGCAATTCAGGTACGTTCGAACCAGCTTGCGCGACATGTCTTGTATTGCAGCGTTTCGTTTTCGTCCTGTCGGGATCGTTGTATCCTGTCTGTCCGTGAGGACTCATTTTGCTTCATCCATTTCAGTCGAGTCAGGGCCCGCAGGCCCAGATGCAATGGGAACCACCGCTGGTGTCTAAGGCTTTGTGAAGATTTGCGTTTGTTTTTTGTTTCCAGGGTGTAGGTTGTTCTTTTTGCTTCAGGGAACGTATCAGCAGTCGCTTGAGATTCTGGAGACTTTTGTTACATTTGCCGAGGTGGACGTGTTTTCATGAGAGGTGGCATTCAAGGCGGCCTGCGCGGCTCCTGCTGCAATGTGTCGTCACGGTAATGTCGACATTCTTGCCTATTGAGTGCCCGTGATGACTCAGAACACCTTACCTACTTTTGTGAGTTTCAGGGCTCGCGGGCCCAGGTGCAATGAGCACGGCTGTTCGTTTCTGAGGCTTAGTGGTGTTAAGGGCTGCTAGAGTTGTTTAGCGGACAATGTTGTACCGGATTATCCCTGCTGTAACTTGCCAGAATTATTGGTATCTATTTGTCGAGCCGAGCGTCGAGATCACGGAGGCCATGTGTTACGAATGCAATTCAGGTACGTTCGAAGCAGCTTGCGCGACATGTCTTGTACTGCAGCGTTTCGTTTTCGTCCTGTCGGGATTGTTGTATCCTGGCTGTCCGTGAGGACTCATTTCGCCTCACCCATTTCTGTCGAGTCAGGGCTCGCAGGTCCAGATGCAATGGGAACCACCGCTGGTGTCTAAGGCTTTGTGAAGATTTGCGTTTGTTTTTGTTTCCAGGGTGTAATTTTTGTTGTTGTTTCAGGGAACGCATCAGCAGGCGCTTGAGATTCTGGAGACTTTTGTTACATTTGCCGAGGTGAACGCGTTTTCATGAGCGCTGGCATTCAAGGCGGCCTGCGCGGCTCCTGCTGCAATGTGTCGTCACGGTAATGTCGACATTCTTGCTTACCGAGTGCCCGTGATGACTCAGAACACCTTACCTACTTTTGTGAGTTTCAGGGCTCGCGGGCCCAGGTGCAATGAGCACGGCTGTTCGTTTCTGAGGCTTCGTGGTGTTAAGGGCTGCTAGAGTTGTTTAGCGGACAATGTTGTACCGGATTATCCCTGCTGTGATTTTGCCAGAATTTTTGGTATCTATTTGTCGAGCCGAGCGTCGAGATCAAGGAGGCCATGTGTTACGAATGCAATTCAGGTACGTTCGAAGCAGCTTGCGTGACATGTGTTGTACTGCAGCGTTTCGTTTTCGTCCTGTCGGGATGATTATATCTTGGCTGTCCGTGGGGACTCATTTCGCCTCACCCATTTCAGTCGAGTCAGGGCTCGCAGGTCCAGATGCAATGGGAACCACCGCTGGTGTCTAAGGCTTGGTGAAGATTTGCGTTTGTTTTTGTTTCCAGGGTGTACTTACGTATCAGCAGTCGCTTGAGATTCTGGAGACTTTTGTTACATTTGCCGAGGTGGGCGTGTTTTCATGAGCGCTGGCATTCAAGGCGGCCTGCGCGGCTCCTGCTGCAATGTGTCGTCACGGTAATGTCGACATTCTTGCCTACCGAGTGCCCGTGATGACTCAGAACACCTTACCTACTTTTGTGAGTTTCAGGGCTCGCGGGCCCAGGTGCAATGAGCACGGCTGTTCGTTTCTGAGGCTTCGTGGTGTTAAGGGCTGCTAGAGTTGTTTAGCGGACAATGTTGTACCGGTTTATCCCTGCTGTGATTTGCCAGAATTGTTGGTATCTATTTGTCGAGCCGAGCGTCGAGATCAAGGAGGCCATGTGTTACGAATGCAATTCAGGTACATTCGAAGCAGCTTGCGCGACATGTGTTGTACTGCAGCGTTTCGTTTTCGTCCTGTCGGGATTGTTGTATCCTGGCTGTCCGTGGGGACTCATTTCGCCTCACCCATTTCTGTCGAGTCAGGGCTCGCAGGTCCAGATGCAATGGGAACCACCGCTGGTGTCTAAGCCTTGTGAAGATTTGCGTTTGTTTTTGTTTCCAGGGTGTAGTTTTTTTGTTGTTGTTTCAGGGAACGTATCAGCAGTCGCTTGAGATTCTTGAGACTTTTGTTACATTTGCCGAGTTGAACGCGTTTTCATGAACGCTGGCATTCAAGGCGGCCTGCGCGGCTCCTGCTGCAATGTGTCGTCACGGTAATGTCGACATTCTTGCCTACCGAGTGCCCGTGATGGCTCAGAACACCTTACCTACTTTTGTGAGTTTCAGGGCTCGCGGGCCCAGGTGCAATGAGCACGGCTGTTCGTTTCTGAGGCTTCGTGGTGTTAAGGGCTGCTAGAGTTGTTTAGCGGACAATGTTGTACCGGTTTATCCCTGCTGTGATTTGCCAGAATTTTTGGTATCTATTTGTCGAGCCGAGCGTCGAGATCAAGGAGGCCATGTGTTACGAATGCAATTCAGGTACGTTCGAAGCAGCTTGCGCGACATGTGTTGTACTGCAGCGTTTCGTTTTCGTCCTGTCGGGATTGTTGTATCCTGGCTGTCCGTGGGGACTCATTTCGCCTCACCCATTTCTGTCGAGTCAGGGCTCGCAGGTCCAGATGCAATGGGAACCACCGCTGGTGTCTAAGGCTTTGTGAAGATTTGCGTTTGTTTTTGTTTCCAGGGTGTAGTTCCCAACCATCCTGTGGTGCTGGGTCCTCGTTTTGAAGAGACGGTGCCCCGCGTTCCTCCTCCCGCTGCCCCCTCCCCCCTCCTCCCATTATCATCACCATCCTCATCATGCTCATCATCATGAGTATCGTCATCATCATCATCCACATCGTGGTTGTCGGTCATCATCATCACCATCATCATCATTATCATCATCATCATCATCATCATCATCATCATCATCATCATCATCATCATCATCATCATCATCATCATCATCTCATCGGCACGTCCTCACACGTTTCGTGGCCCCATAGGGGCTCCACCGAAGGCCCAATGGCTGCGTCCGCAATGCCGCCGCCACCCAATTTTGGCACACCCCTCACACGATTCGTGGCCCCATAGGGAGCTCCACCGAAGGCCCAAATGGCTGCGTCCGCATGCCGCCGCCACCCAATTTTGGCACACCCCTCACACGTTTCGTGGCCCCATAGGGAGCTCCACCGAAGGCCCGAATGGCTGCGTCCGCATGCTGCCGCCACCCAATTTTGGCACACCCCCCACACGTTTCGTGACCCCATAGGGAGCTCCATCTAAGGCCCAAATGGCTGCGTCCGCATGCCGCCGCCACCCCATATTTGGTACACCCCTTACACGCTTCGTGGCCCCATGGGGAGCTCCACCGAAGGCCCAAATGGCTGCGTCCGCATGCCGCCGCCGCCCATTTGGTGCACAGCCCCCTCAACAACGTTTCGTGCCCCATGGGAACTCTCTAAGGCCCAAATGGTTGCGTCCGCATGCCGCCCCACCCATATTTGGCACACCCCTTACACGCTTCGTGGCCCCATGGGGAGCTCCACCGAAGGCCCAAATTGCTGCGTCCGCATGCCGCCGCCACCCAATGTTGGCACACCCCTCACACGTTTCGTGGCCCCATAGGGAGCTCCATTTAAGGCCCAAATGGCTGCGTTCGCATGCCGCCGCCACCCCATTTTGGCACACCCCTCACACGACGCGTGGCCCCACAGGGAGCTCCACCGAAGGCCCAAATGGCTGCGTTCGCATGCCGCCGCCACCCCATTTCGGCACACCCTTCACACGTTTCGTGGCCCCATAGGGAGCTCCACCGAAGGCCCCAGTGGCAGACCTCGCATGCCGCCCGCCACGACGACAGCCTCACGGGGGACCTCACGGGCCCGCTGGTGTTCATCGAGCCCCGCACGTCGGAGCCGTTCACCTTCCGCGCCTCCAAGGTCACCCGGACGGGCTTCCCGTTTTCACACAGCAGGGTCATCACCACGGTGGCGTGCCAGGGGCGCACCATGCGGGAAGGCGGCGGGGCGGGGGAACGCGCCACCGGGCATTCTACTGCCGAACCCTCGAACGCGAGCGGGTCCCCCGCAGCCGGACCTTCCTCGGTCCCCGTGGACTCTCGCCCTGGGGCCGTCGCTGTCTTGCGCGCCGCTCCCTCGACGACGCCGCCCAGGCTTGGTCCTGGACTGCGGCCGCCGCCGAGGTCGGGAACGCAAGAAGGAGGACGACGACTGGTGGCTGGAGCTCTACGTGCTGCTCTCGCGCGCCACGCGCCACGAGGATCTCCTGCTCATGCGGGCGCCCTCATCGAGTTCTTCTGGAGGGCCGCCGGAGGGCTTGCGGAAAGGGCTGGGGGTCAAGTTTGCATCTCGCGCACGAAGCGGTGCAGGAGGGAGGCGACGGCCCTCGCCAGGGAGCTCGGTTTCAGCGAGTTCATCCGCGAGGCCTGACCTGGGAAGCGGCCCCGCACGAGCCAGCGGCGCGCGCTGGTTGTCGCTGACGCTTGGATGACCCCAGCTCGTCGTCGGGATTTCTCGCCAGAGGATGACCGGCGCCTGTCGGGGGATTTCACCCATATCGCGCAATTTTTGCATCGCCTCGCCGCGCAGCACGGGGGAGCTATCCGTTTACTTTGAGTTGCAGTGGACGACCCCCGCGCGTCGATGGGATTCCCTCGGGATGACCAGACCGCGTCTGTGGGGACTCCCCAGCCACTTTCGAGCGGTTCCGCCTGCGCAGTGCACTCTGCGTGGCTCGCTATCGGCCCGGAGGCAAAAATGTCACCCCTCGTCTCTCGCTCCTCTTGCTTCCTTTTGCTTCTTGACCGCGGGCCCCCCCGGTCTCGTCTCTGCCGCTGCTGACCTGCCTTCGACATCTACACGGTGTCTCCGCCACCTCTTCCTGCGTGCCCAGTAACAGGTCTCATGATGCGATGATGATACTGATGTGTTGGCTCGCCCCAGTGAGCTCTCCTCCTCCGCCCGCCACCTCCTGCCCGCGCTGCCCTGTGCCTCGTCCGTGCTGTGGCGCGGTGCCTATGAGAAGAAGGGTCTAGTTTGCGTGCCCCCTCCTTCGTCTCATATCCGTGCGGTACTCGCAGCTGC